TGAGATTTTTTTCTAAAGTAACCATGAATAATGGAAAATTACTCTTGGTTTCCAAGGGAAGATTTCTGTATCAGTCAGTACTATTGATGATGAGAAAAATTTAGAGGTTGATGAGCAGGAAAAAAATATAAGGATCACTTTGATATAATGAAAAAGCCTGAACTTGGATTCACAAATCTTGGGTTTTACAGGATGTGTGACCTTAGACAAAGCTATTTAACCTCACTTTTCCCATTTATAAGATGGGAATTATATTAACTGCCATTTTGACAACGGCATGTGATTTTTAATATTAAATCAAAATGGTGTACATGAAATGCTTTAAAAACTATAAAATCCTATACAAATGCAAAGTGGCATGGAGGTAATTAAAACTCACTGCCGTCAAATCGATTCTGACTCATAATGACCCTACAAGGGCAGAGTAGAACTGACCCACACGGTTTCCAAGGCTGTAAATCTTTACGGAAGCAGATTGCCACATCTTTCTCCCGCGGAGCAGCTGGTGGGTTTGAACTGCCGACCTTTTGGTTAGCAGCTGAGTGCTTAACCACTGTGCCACCAGAGCTCCTATGGAGGTAACTACTAAGAGTTAATTAAAATTTATTTTATTATTGAAGTTCATCATTAAAGTTTAAAAATTATTCTCTCAAAAGAGAGTGGGATACTAACTGAATAAGAAGAGCGATTACTAGAACATAAAGTCAGAATTTATGAAGAAAAGAGAGGTTCCCCAGATTGTGAGAGATTGATATTAGCAACTCATCTGCAATACTTCTGCAAGCATTTGTATGAGGTTTGTCCTACTAATGATCCTGATATTCTTTTTATATTGCCTTTGACAATATTTTAACAGGATTAGACTTTAGAGTTTCCTTTCTAGGAATCATCAGATATTTTACTTTATCCCCACTGAATTAGCACACCTATTGGGTAGCTCCTGTTTTGAACAATTTAGGATTATTTCAGTTGTAACTGTTTCTTTAAAATTTGCAAATCAAATCATACAAAGAGAAGTCAACCAGATAGAACAAGATTAGAATAAAGCAAGTAGAAATTACATTAAAGAATCTATCAAGACTCTCAATAATATTATCCCTGGCTTTAGAGAACAATGATTTTTACTATTAATAATAATTTATATTTATAAAGTGCTATGTTTAAATTTTCTTTCTTTCTTTGTTAAATATGTCCCTTCACGTGGTGTGAAGTAAATGTAACCATACAAAAGAGACAAGAAAGGCCCCTTTACAGCAATGCTTGCTTTGCTGTTTGAAGGGCAACTGTCTTCCAAACACGCAGAGAATCCTTATCATGTTCTGTTTCAGAAATATGTTTTCAGAGAGAGAAAACAACAGGCCATGATTTAATGATTTTTTGTTAAACAACTATAATTCTTTCAAAGTAGTATGTATCACAACAATTTCTCTCTGTTAAAAAGAAAATCAAGTCTTTAAAGACAATTTCCCATTCTGCAGGTGGGGAGGAAATTTAAAAAGCACCTATTATTTTACTGTTAGTACAACACTAGAAATTTGCATTGTAAAGCAAGCTGCTGTGGTCAGCTCTTTAATGGACAGCAGCAGACAGGAAGCTGCCTCCACCCTAAGCAGCTTAGAGACTGAGCAACTGAATTAGACAGCAGGTGCCCAGGCCAGTCAAATCAATTTTCTAACACAGAAGTAGCATGTAGTGGAACTTGTTTTATTAGCCTTTTTTTTTTTTTTCTCTGTTAAGGAAGAAAGGATTTCTCTGTGTGGACGCAGTGCTGCTATTTCTAGTTTGAGAAAAATGGCAAGGAATTTGTTGATAATTGACTGTTGTTAAAACAGCCAATTATCTTTAAAAATAGATTAGCCACACCTATAGGAAGAGGAATCTCAAGAATGCATACAATTTATAAAAGCTGGCTCTGAATTACCCATACAAATGTGCACTAATGTGCAGTAAACAACTGATTATGCACACTGTATCCTTTCTTTCTCAGAAATCACAAACAATAGTTTCAAAAAACCAACAACAAAATAAAATCTGACTATTTTTACACTTGAAGCTCTTCATTATTTTACTTCCTTTTGCTGTTGAAAAGTCACAATAGCCAAGAAGAGTAATGTTTTTTCTTTTAAATTAACAGATGTCATGGTGGTTAAGGGTGAGGTGGGGTACAGAGAAAGAAGTTGGCAAGAAAAAGTCCAGGGCCTGTTGCAAAACCAACTGCAAGCCAAATACAATTCCAGATAGACAAGAATCACTTATTACAATGGGGGGGGGGGGAGTTTAAAAGATGAAATGGGAAGGAGGCAACCTTAAAGATCATTTTACTAAAGGAACATGCAGATACTTACACCAAACACAGGTGAGTATAGTATTTTCCATATGTTATTAAGTATAAAATATATAGATCCTCTGGGTGGTGTAAATGGTTAAAGCACTTGGCTGCTAATGGAAAGGTTGGAGGTTTCAGTCCACCCAGAGGTACCTCAAAACGAAAGTCCTGGTGATCTGCTCCTGAAAAATCAGCTACTGAAAACCCTATGAAGCCATAGTTATACTCTGATACACATGGGGTCCTCATGAGTTGGAGTTGACTTGATGGTGACTTTTTTTTTTGTAAAATATATAATTACTTACATATTTCTAGTTGGTCAACAAAAACTGCTGAAAGTAGACTATTATTGGTAATAGTAATAACTACCAGAACACGTACCTGGTGTTCTTATTTGATCCTTGCTACCACTCTGCTGTTTTAGCGGGTATCTAACAGATGAGACAGCTGGTGCAAAGAGAGTTCAGAACCAGGCTCAGGTCTACAGCGTGAGGAAGTAACGGAGTCAGGATTCACTCAGGTCTGTCTCACTCCAAAGCTTAGGCTTCAACAAGTGCGCTATACTGTGCACAGATACGTGTATGCCATGGTCTTTGAAGAACTTCACTTTCTGGACTTGAAAAACAAATTATAAGAGAAATCCTAAAAAGCTTAGGTTTCAAAGAGCATTAACAATTGCCAAGACCTCCATGGCACATTAGTGTACAGCTAGAAAAGATGAAAATGTATTAGGAAATACTTAGGAAAAAGCGAATGATTTTGCTTAGCCTATTTATGCAAAATCAGAAATCCGATTCAACTTTGTTTCAGAAATGGAACAATGTTTCATTAGAACATACTTTAAATGTTCTTCTTAGTAACAATGTGACACATGGAAAGAGTTCCTTTTTGTAAACCCTTTTTAAAGAGGAAATCGTCCAATTTCATAAAATTAGAGCAAGGCTTCACTTCTAAAGAAATTCCAGAGAAAATGGTTTACACAGTATAACTGGCTTTGACTTAAGGGTATTGTCATCACAACGCAGTAACCCCATAAAAGATGTACTCAAAATATCTATTTAATTTTGAAGTCAGTTACGTGAGAATCTTGAAGATGGAGGGAAAATTCCCCCCGAACTACTATCTGACATAATATGACCCACCTGGACTTTGGAGCCCTGGTGGCGCAGTGTTTAACAGCCCAAAAGGTCAGCAGTTGGAATCCACCAGCTGCTCCTTGGAGACCCTATGGGGCAGTTCTACTCTGTCCTTTACGGTCGCTATGAGTCGGAATCAATTCCACGGCAGTGGGCTTAGGTTTTTTTTTTTGGTTTATCTGGACTTTGTTCTTTATCATATCTCCAAATGAAAAGTTTATGGTCAGAAAAAAAAATAGTAGTAAAAAAGAGAAGTAAAACTACTCGGCAAAAGAAAAAGCTGCTGTTCATGGAAGTGTAGTTATTGAGTCTAGAATGTCAGGGAAAACCGCTGTCCGTTACTCGTAATTGAGTTCTTCATGGGTCGATTTCTTCATTACTTAATTGTACGCGTCGAAATTTCCTCAAAATAGGGCTCTTGTGGGAGGAAGCTTAAGCTTTTGAAAGTGCAGGTTTATTTCTTACAACCGAATTTAGCGAAACGTGGAAGGGTCACTGAGGACAAAGTCAGCTAGGATCTGACAGAATCCCTCGCCTTCCCGGCTCACGTGGCGAAAGTAAACAGAAGGTGGGCGGGGGCGGAGAGAATCCGGACATCAGGTTCCTAATTTGTCGTGTCTTTAAAAATACAGACCCCTTAAACACGAAGTGCATGCTCTCAGAGAAACCGAGGGGTGCTTCTGCTGAACAAGATCAAAGCGACCGAGAGGAGAGGACGCCTCAGCCAGGGCGGGGCGGGGGCACCTGGACCTACAGGGAGTGGGGTGCGGGCCTGTGCGGGGGCACGGACGGAGGTGGATGCACGCGGGGGCGTGTGCGGTGATACCTGCAAAAAGGTGGGGGTTAGGGTTAAGTTCGAGAACACCGGGGCTTGGGCCGAGTGGGTGCGGCGGGGCCGTGCGCGGGAATACCCGCAAGGGGATGGTGTGCAGGCCTGTGCTGGGTCGCCGGGGAAGGTGGCTGCGCGCGGGTGTGTGCGCGCGAATACCTGTCAGGTGGTGGGGGAGTGCGGGATCAATAAAAAGTTCAAAGAGAAAACTGTCATCTCATACCCCTGTCCAGATACCCACGCCCCGCACCCCTCCCCGTCCCCGCGCCTGCCTTGCTCCTTCTCCCGGGCGAAAAGACCCGTTCCGGGGCCCCGGGTTCCCGGGGATCTGGCCGTGGCGGCCGCGCCCGAGCCGCGGCGCCCGGGGGCTGGACCCTCCCCGCGCTCCTCCTCGCTCGCCCCCGCCCCGCGCTCATCCGGGCGCAGCGCTCTCCCCGTGCGGCTCCGAGCTTGCGGGCAGCCCGGGCCTGACTGCTCGCCCTGTGTACGGCCCCC